CACCCACCACGGCCGTCTTGTAGACCACAGGCCAGCCCTCGAGATTTCCACGGGAGCACGATGAGCAACAGCCTCAACCCCAGGAGTTAGCAGGTTTCCCCTATGGCTTTTCTCTTGCAGACAATGAAAACGTTCCATTCATTTATTCAACAAAGACAGTACCTGTTGAGCTCTGTGTTGGGGCCAAGACAGTGACTCAGGCCAATAAGGGCCTTGCCTTCTGGAAGCTTTTTTTTTTTTTCCCTGAAACATGCAGAGAAGTTTTTACTTATCACGTGTGTTGGTAATACTTAATATTTAGCTGTAGAACAGAGTCCCAGATAGAGCTGCAGGCAGGGTGTTAGTAGGGTTTGAGGGTGGGGCACGACATCAAGGACACGGTAGGCTGGCTGCTCAGTAAGGAAATTCTGTATTTCTCAAGTGCCAACTTCTGTTACAGTCGATTTCAATTACTCAGTTTTTAGGCAGATACCTGTATTTGGGATTGTGTTATACATTTTTGCCAATTAAGGATCTCATTTCATTTTTTTGATTGGCTGATTCAGTTGTCATTAAAGGTCAGGTAGCATGGCCTCATTCCCCGCCCCCCTCCCACTACCACCCCCTCCACACATACAGCAGAATAGTATTCTTATTAGAAGTTCCCAAGGATGGAGCAATTCCAGCATGCACATTGTGATCAGACATAGCCGGGAGGATGACGAACTATAGTCATCTAGAAATAACAGTCTTCTCCATTAAAGCAGTAACATGCAGGGTCCTCATCTGCTTCACAAAGGTGCTTTTACCGGATTCTCCAGCACCCAGCACCAGCAGTCTGGTAGACCTGCTTGTCCTTCTTTTTTTTTTGTTTTTAATTGTACTTTAGATGAAGGTTTACAGAGCAAACTAGTTTCTCATTAAACAATTAATACATATATTGTTTTGTGACATTGGTTGCCAACTCTACGACATGTCAACACTCTCCCCTTCTCAACCTTGGGTTCCTGCCTTACCAGGTTTCCTGTCCCCTCTGCCTTCTCGTCCTTGCCCCTGGGCTGGTGTGCCCATTTAGTCTCATTTTGTTTTATGGGCCTGTCTAATCTTTAGCTGAATCGTGAACCTCAGGAGTGACTTCATTACTGAGCTATAAGCGTGTCTGGGGACTAACCTCTCGGGGTTTCTCCAGTCTCTGTCAGACCTGTAAGTCTGGTCTTTTTTTTTTTTTGTGTGAGTTAGAATTTTGTTGTATGTTTTTCTCCAGCTCTGTCCAGGACCTTCTATTGTGATTCCTGTCAGAGCAGTCAGTGGTGGTAGCCAGGCACCATCTAGTTGTGCTGGACTCAGTCTGGTGCAGGCTGTAGTACTTGTGGTCCATTAGTCATTTGGGCTAATCTTTCCTTTGTATCTTTGGTTTTCTTCATTCTCCCTTGCTCCAGACGGGGTGAGACCAGTGGAGTATCTTAGATGGCTGCTCACAAGCTTTTAAGACCCCAGACGCTACTCACCGAAGTAGAATGTAGAATATTTTCTTTATAAACTATGTTATGCCAATTGAGCTAGATGTTCCTGTAGACCATGGTCCCCACAGCCCTCAGCCCAGTAATTTGGTCTCTCAGGGAGTTTGGATGTGTCTATGGCACCTTCATGACCTTGCCTTGGAGGAGTTGTGCTGGCTTCCCCAGTATTGTATACTGTCTTACCCTACACCAAAGTTACCACTTATCTATTGTCTATTTAGTGTTTTTCCCTTCCATTCCTCCCCTACCTTGTAACCATCAAAGATTGTTTCTTTTTGTGTGTAAACTTCTTCATGAGTTTTTGTAGTAGTGGTCTCAATCTTCTTGTGGGCCTCGTGCCACACCTTCCTCCGTCTTGTGCTGGTCATGTTGGAGGGAGGTGCATGCTTCATGCCAGCACCTCCGGCTCAGTGCCCACTGGGTCTACACTGCCTGGGACTAGAGTAACAGTGGCACAGCCAGAGCTCTTGCTTTCATCAGGGAGGCAGAAAAACTTCCAAAAATATATGGAATGCCACGTTGAGTGAGGACAAACCTTGTAGAAAAAGGTGATCCAGAGAAACAAGGACAAAGGAGTCCAAAGAAAATTGTATATCTGAATCTGACCTAGGATGGACGGGATGAGGGGAGAAGCCAGCCAGCCATTGGGTGGAGGTGGGGATCTATCATTTGACAAACCTACATTAAGCTCCCAGTCCCTGCTCTCACTGAGCGAACCAATGGCACGTCAGGGAGCAGAGGAGCAGACAGGCAATTACAACATAGAGCCATGCCTTCTGTGGCAAAGGGTGATAACAGGATACCCGACTGAGTCTGGCAGTCAGAGAAGGCTTCCTGAAAGAAGCAGCATCTCGACTGTACCTTGAGGAATGAGCAGGTGCAGGCTGGGGTTAAGGAGATGCAGACATTAATCGAGGAAGGGTTGTGGAGAGGGTGCACCCCAGGTTCCAATGTGGCACTCTGAGCTGAGGGTGCTGCCCTGCCCCTTGCTCTGACCTTCTTTCTTTTGCTTCCAGCCCATGACACTGGTCTCGTGACCCTACAAGTTGCCTTCAACAACCAGATCATCTCCAACTCGGTGGTGTTTGAGTACAAAGCCCGGGCGTTGCCCACTCTCCCTTCCTCCCAGCACGACTGGCTGTCGTTGGATGGTAAGGACGGCGCTCGGGTCGCCTGGCCAGGTGGTGGGAGAGGGACACCTGTGCTCTCTGGGCACAAGGTGTGTAAAAGGAGGTAGCACCCAGGTTTCCTGGTTCCTGCTCGGAGCGAGTGGGGAGGGTTAAGAGGCTCCTCCTCTGGCTATGTGTGTCTCTGAAGTTGGGCAGCCGTGTGTGGCCATCGGCTGGCCATCTCTGCCTGGCCCTGAGACAGAATGAAGTATGTGAGGTTGGGCCCATGTCTGTCACTCCTGCTGGGATACCTGAGTGGCCAGATGAGCCCCTGAGGAGCCCTGAGGTCCTCCCCTCCACAGACCCCAGAGGAGCCTAGAGGTCCCCTGTCCACAGACAGACCCGAGGGGCCCTGAGGTCCCCTTGTCCACAGACAGATCACTGAGGGCCCTGAGGTCCCCCCATCCACAAACGAACCCCGAGCAGCGGGGTCTGAGCGCCCTCGGCCACTCTCCTGGCTGTTTCCATGGTTTCCCCGGAGCAGAGGCAGCTCCTGCAGGCCGTGGCCAGGCCTCAAGCCTCTTAGAAGAAAGTAGTGTGTGAAGCTGAGTGGAGACGACTCCGGGCAGCTTCTCTCAGATCCCGAGGCCTGGGCAGGCAGGCCCATGTGTGTGAGTGCCTCTGCCAACCTCCCAGTGGAAGCCCTCAGCCACTGTCCTACATGCTCCTCAGCTGTCCTGACTTAGGCGGCTGCCCGACAGAACCTCTGAGACAAGCCCAGAGTTAGGATGGCAACAGAAGAAGGAGGGCCAGGGGCTCCCTGTCGGCAACAAGGGAGGAGGCAAGACCTGCTGGCCAAGGAGAGGCGGGGCTCCATGAGCCACTGCTGCACCCACAGGTTGGCTCTGTGCTGGCTGCTCCCCCTTCTCACCAGAGGCTCTGCAGAAAGAAGCTGCCAATGACAGGCTGGGGACTGCCAGGGTCAGTGGCTGTCCTTGCTAATCTGGCTATGCCCAGGACTGGCTGGGGCTTAGGGGCTGAGCCAACAGTCTGCTCTCTGCACAGGGGACAGGGTGCAAGGGGTGGTTTGACAAGACCTCAGGAGCAGGCAGCCAGCAGATGTGCCAGGCAGTGGAGAACCTCGCTGGAGACCTCCCTAGCCCAGGGCACTGGGCCCTGGGCAGGGTCAGTTCCTTAAGCACCCCTCCCCCCATCCACAACAGCCCTTCTGCCTGTCCCTCTCAGACTGCCCCTTGCTGCGGGAAGACTTCTGGGCTTGGGCCCACAGCCCTGGGCAGCTGCCCTGAGCTGACCGTGTGTGGAGCCGGGCCTCCTCCCAGCCCGGCCCCAGCAGTGACAGGGTGCCCACAGCTGCCCTGGCTGGCTAACCCTCAGGAGCTGTTTCCAGAGGTGGCTCTGGGTCAGCGGGAGTCTGCACCCTGGCCTCAGCTGCCTGGGAGCACCACACTGGCCTTGGCAGCGTTCCCAGCTGCAGCTGGAGCCAGGCGGAGCTGTGGCTATGGTCTGCAAGATGTAACAGAGAAGGGGAGGGTGACAGGGGCTCCTGTTCAGAACATCCAGTTTCAAGCCCTGGGTCTCCCTGCGTGACCTAGCCGGCCTCACTGTGGGGGAGGGGAGGGTACTCAAGGATGTTGGGACCAGTGTAGGGCCTGTATGGGAGATGGAGCCTTTTCAGAGAGCAAAGTCTCAGCAGACGTTGCTCCAAGCCCAAGAAAGGTAGCTGCCCTGGGAAGCCCAGAGAGCAAGCTGTGCCGAGAGGCTGCCTTCCGGCAGGGTACTTGTGTGGAAACCAGAAAAGGGAGCTGCCCCCACTGCTTCGTGAGAAACACACCCTCAGGCAATGAGCCTTCTGCATGCCAGGCACCTGCTCCCTGGCAGCCCCCTCCATGGGGACTTCGAGCTCTGCCATCTCTAGGCCTCCAAGTTGAAATAAGCACCCTCCCCGCTCTTGGCAGGATACAGAGATGGCAGGGGTTAGGGAGGGGCCATGACAGTGCCAACCTCCATCTGGCACAGAGGCCACTGTCTCTGAGGAGTGTTGGCCCTGTGCTACCACTGGCCTGGGCACAGCTGGGGGGATATTGGTGCCACAGTGGCTTGGACTCTGCTGAATTGGACTGACCCAGCCTGGCTCAGGAAGGACAGTGCCAATCTGTCGTCCACCATGGCCCAGGCTCCCTGCAGAGTGGAACAGAGCCCTGACAGGTGCCCCCTTCCCCCTCATCCCTCACCCTCTGGTCTTGGCCAGGTGTCCTTTCAAGTAATGGGAGGAGGAAGGAGGCCCAGGGCAGAGTAACTACTCCATCGGGTGGGGCAGCCTCCTGCTTCCCCTGAGGGGAGAAGAGTGGAGCTTGCCTGTTCTTTTCTTCCTAAATGAATGTAAGTGACTTAACTACCCAGAGATCATTTTCAAAGCACGTCATCAGCCTGATAAACAGTTAACAGGGCTGGGGGTGCGGGAGCTACCTGCGGCCCCACCAGCAGCAGCATAATCTGTCTCACTGCAAAGGGGACTGCTGGGACCGCCAGCCGGGAGGGTGGGGGTCCCTGGCCCTCCCGCCAGCCCCTTGACCTGGAAGTGAACTTGTGTAGTTGGGGAAGATGCTGCAGTGACCGGGCAGCAGTTGAAAAGCCTTCCCCCTCTCTCTCCTCTGCTCCCAGCTCTGCAACGCCTCAGCTCCGCCCCTCCCACCCCCACGGTTGCTGGGCAAATCCTCCATTAGAGCCGGCTCTGCATGGAAACGTGTGCGTGGCAGGTCGGATAGAGGGGGCGAGGGGGCGAGGGGGCTGCAGCAGCAAGCTAGCGAGGCAGGGCGCACGGCGGCGCGTGCACACAAAGCACACCCGGCACACACGCGCCCTCGCGCGCACGCTGGCGCACAGCTGCAATGCGGGACCTGCGGGGAAGGGATTGGAGGGTTGCGCTCGGCGGGGCTGGCGGTGCCACTCGCCCTGGTCCACTGCGGCAAAACGCCGGTGTATCCAAAAGGCCGAGCCTTTCGCCGGCGTTCGGAGAGTAAACAATGATGTACCAATCGCGAGCTCGGTTCCGGCACCCAGGCCGGCTGCGCGCGTTTCCGCGCGCCCTCTACTCATCGCCGCATCTGCATCCTGGCAGCGCTCTCTGCCCCTCTCCCGTCCCAGAGGGGAAAATGTTTGGGGAAGAGAACGTTTGCCTTCGTTTGATTTAAAAAATAGACTTGTTTACCAGACTCAAAGGTGGGTGGGGGCCGCGGCGTAGGAGCACAGCGAATCCGGGCGCGCGCAACCGCGACGGCGCAGCCTTTGTCTGCAGTCCAGCCCCGCAAGGGTGATCACGTGCCTGGGGGAGGGGGCGATCTTCCCTGCGGACGGGCTACGGCGATGGGGCCCCAAATCCCCAGAATGTGGCTGGGGGGCAGCCATCCAGGCTGAGACGGGGCACGGAGACGGGAAGAGGGAGGAGAACAGGGTGGAGCCAGCGCGACCAGGCCCGCCTGGGACAGACCTCCAGAAGCACAGTCCACTGGGAGCGCCTCTCAGACCTAGGGGCCTTTGCCCTGTGAGCTCTGGGGGCCGAAGCTCTGTCTGCCCGGACCTCCAGGGCCTAGCTCAGGGCTGGCAAGCAGTAGGGAGCAGTGCATATTTGCTGTGTGAGTACATGAATGAATGAGCAGTTGTTGAAACACAGCAAAGAGGCCTAATCCAGCCTAGTGTTTTCATCATTTCCTCCCCTAAAGGTCCGGATTTGGAACAAACTACCCTGGGCCTGACCCCAGACCATTTGTACTGACAGGGTTGAGCCTATGCTGGATGGCTGATCCTGGATCCCAGCTCCAGGTCCCCGGGTTGATCTGGAGCCGACCCGCTGTGCAGTCAGGGTGGGGGTGGGGGGGCGTGATGGGGACCTCTTCCAGGCAGAGGCAGGTAGTGTGGGGTTTACCCTGGAGATGGGTTGGGAGAGTCTCTGGGAAATGTCACTTCTGCCTGGGATGGGTCCTGTGGATACAAGCAACCAGAACTGTGCTGAGCATAACAGGATGTGCTGTCTGTTTAGAAGGGTTTTTGGGGCTTTTGTTTTCAAAAAGAATAAAACCATGCTGTTAAACATTGTGCTCTGGAGAGTGGGAGGTGACGCTGGCCCACATCCAGGGCAAGGGCAACTTTAAGCAACCCCAGTCCCTGCAGAGAAAGTGAGCAGAACTTCCTGTGTTGTTCTTTCTCTCCTCACAGTCATCCGTCATCCGACACTACCCAAGGCCAGGTTAAGAAGACCGAGGGTCCCCCATCCCCCCACCCCCACCCCCACCCTGCTGGGCCCACTTCTGGAAGCCCCACTAAGCCACTTACACTTAGACACTATTTTCAATTGCTTCTCAGGCTGTGAGCCTCCTGCCTGAGTCAGAGGATTGGCACGAGGCCACACATCAGGCAGGCCTTCTCGTGGTGACCCTCAGGGTGGGGTGGAACCTAGTCATCACAAGCAGATAGCAGAGCAGGGACTGGAGCTCAAAGCTTGCCATCCAGGCATCTTCTTCCTGGGCCAGCCTCAGGGTAGAGTGGGCACCCCCAGGCTAGCCAGAGCCATAGAAAGTTAACCCACTGGTCAACCAGCATTCATCAGTAACCTGACCTCAGGACCAGCCTGGCTCTGGGTTAGGTGTCTGGGAAGATTGAGAACCTCCACTGAGTCTAAGGAGATGGGGGGAAGGACAAGCAAGATTTGGACCCTGGTTTGGTCTTCTGGTCTGCTCGAGCTCTCTGTGCTGACAGGTGGAAGGAGACATGTGGCTGGGGTGGCCCCCAGTTCTGCCCCTGCCTTGGAGCTGCCACCCTGGCTGAGAGAAGTCCTGTCCCTAGTATGTGGCTGTGGTCCAGTGGCCTCTCCCTTGCAGGGTGGTTTCCAATATCTTCTCAGCTGCCATCCACCAAGAGCAGGAGACCACAGGGCAGCCCAGGGGCAATGGGAGAGGCCATTCCAGCTGTGCTGCTAAGGCCCATAGGAGGTGTCTGCATGCTTTCTTCCTCCCATGGTGACACTC